TGGGTTGTGGGTTTTTTTAGTACAGTACCAATGAGGAGGCCCATTCTGCATCATCTTTTAATTTAAGTAGTTGACCTGATACCTAATTTAGACTGTTGTGGTGTTAAAATGTTTCTTTTAACTTGGCCATTTGAATTTGCATAACATCTTTAGTTTATTTGCATAATTTGGATTGTTTTCTGAGATCAATTTTACTATATCCGTTGAAACAATAGTTTTTAATTGTTCTCATAAATGGCATCTCATGTGAGGAACCAGGGTGGAGGGCTGCATGCATAAATACATAATTAACCATGATTTGATTAGGTGGCATCAGGTTTGTATCCAGACTTAGTGACCACAAAATATAGATTGATTTTCTCCAGGACGATCTGTCCCTAACCTGGTGTTTCAGGACTTCCATAGAGTTCACCCTCCTTACCAGGGGTGAAATGCTCCCGGTTCGGACCGGATCGCGCGATCCGGTAGCAATGGAGGCTGGTGGTTCGGAGAACTGGTAGCAAAAATCCCTGCCCAGCCCCCCATGCCCAGCTGAGCCGCGCGATCATCAGAGGCTTTTTTTCTTTTAAATGCCTCTGATGATCCAAGCTGAGTTGCCTGATCGGCAGAGGCTTTTTAAAAAAGTCTCCGCCAATCAGGCAACTCAGCTTGGAACATCAGAGGCATTTAAAAGAAAAAAAGCCTCTGATGATCAGGCAACTCAGCTTGGATCGTCAGAGGCATGTCTCTGACAATCCAAGCTGAGTTGCCTGATCGTCAAGCTGAGTTTGACAATCCAAGCTGACGATCCAAGACGATGCCTGATGATCCAAGCTGAGTTGCCTGATCGGCAGAGGCATTTAAAAGAAAAAAAGCCTCTGACCATCAGGCAACTCAGCTGAAATCATCAGAGCCTTTTGAAAGCATTTTTTTACAACCTCTTCACCGAAGGTTGTAGAAAAAATGGTTTTAAAAGTTAAAAAAAAAATTTGCCACGCCCACCCAGTCACATTACACCCCCACCAAGCCACGCCCACAGAACCGGTAGTAACAAATTTTAGATTTCACTACTGCTCCTTACTGTTAAGTCGGCTTCTTTTTCCTTCCTCCTTTCCCATCATTAGAGTTTTCTGGAGAGCTAAGACTTAGCAAAATGTGTCAGAAGCAGATGTCTATGGAGATTCTCAGTCATCCAGATCATAGTCGTCTTAAAGGTTCTTTGTTCTTCAAAAGGCAACTGGGTGTTTTTTTCCTTGAGGAGGAAGAAGAAAACATTTCACTTTTCATCCAAGAAGCTTCATCGGTTGTGATGGCAGGGGCATTACATGCTCAGCATTACAAGACAAGTTAGAAAGATCTGCACGTGGATTGGAGAAGAAAAAAAAGTATACGATGTCATCAAGAGAAAGATAGGATATTAATATATAAATAAAAGAAGTAAATATATTTCTAAACCTGTACAACTTGTCACATCTACATTATGTTGGTTGCCTTGTTTTTAACCAATCTCCTGAGGCTCTTGGTAGGATAACTTTATTGTCACTTCAAATGTACACTAATCGGCATTAACATTACACTACATTAAAATGAAATTTTGTTACATACCGCTCTCAAAGGGTCACCACCTCCAATATACACTACCATATATAAATATGATAGATAGATAGATAGATAGATAGATAGATAGATAGATAGATAGATAGATAGATAGATAGATATGCAACACTGTCTAGTCCGGATGTATACATGTATAGGGCAAGACAATTGAATCTTGTGAGTTTACCAGACGGATGGCATAGGGAACAAAGCTGTTACAGAATCTGGAAGTCCTGCTAGAAATATTTTGAAACCTCCTCCCAGAGGGAAGCAACAGAAACAGACCGTAAAGTGGCTGTTTGGGGTCTCTAACAGTGCTTTGAGCTCTAAGAACATAGTGCTTATAAACTAGCTTCCTATAATCTTCTCGGCTATCCTTACCACTCTCTCTGTGGACTTTCTATCTGAGGCACTGCACTAATATGACTTTCACTCATATTGAAAATAATATTCTCAGATTAATTCTTTGCCTATGTCCCACACCACCAATGGGACTATAGTTAATTCTTGACTAACAACCATTATTTAGAGACCATTAGAAGTTACAACAGCACTGAAAAAAGTGCCTTATGATCATTTTTCACACTTACAACTTGGAAACTGACATGTATTTATGACGGTTGCAGTGTCCCGTGGTCATGTGACCCCCTTTTGCAATCATCTGACAAGCAAAGAAAAGCGGGCAGATTCACTTAACAACCCTAAGTTAACAACAACAGTGATTAATATAACAACCATGGCAGGAAAGATCGTAAAATGGGGCAAAACACCCTTAACAACTGTCTTGCTTAGCAACAGAAATTTTGGTTTGATAGTCGTAAATCGATGACTATCTGTAAAATATTGCAGAGACACAAAAGTGTCTCATATTCCTTGACGATTAAAAAACCAGTTGTCAATCATTGGAATTACTATCTAGTTCTAGCACCCAACAATCTGAAATAACCATATTAACAGTGATCTGATTATTTCAGTAGAATTGCATCTGTCTGGTTTTACAGAGGCTTCCCTGTTCTTTTCTGCAAGCAAAAGAATGTATGTGAACACCATGTATGCAATTAGGCATAAAGCCTTTCCCATGACAAGTTTTAACAACATTTTGTATGCTTTGGATTGTATCCATTGGGCACAAGTCAAGGAAAGAGGCGTCTAAGTGACTTTAAAATCAATAGGATTTGAGTCCACAATAATTTTTTCACATTCCATTCATTTCAAGCACATGTATCCACCTTTCTAAAATTGTCTTTCCATTTGTCTGGGAAACGGTTACGACATTTCTTGCACAATGAAGTTGCTGGCACAATAAAATCTAGTGGTCTTTATATTTTATAGTCAATTCATAAAGCAGACACCACTATTCTATATATTAACTTTGATGCAAACATTAATTGGAAAACACTGAGTACACAGCAAGGCCTATTACTAATTAAGCAGCCGTCACATAGATATTAATTCCCCATAAAGCGACTTAAAGTTGAAATTAACTGTTCTGTGTTAATATCTGCTCTGTATAATTCATCTATTCAGGTAGAATTAAGATTTCTTGTCCACAGTAGGTGGATTGGATTTCAAAACAGTAACACCTATGGATGTTTGCAGAATAAAGGGAGGTTTCCCATTATTTCGGTCTTTGCTTAACCTTTTAAAAGTAGTAACAACACCAACAACAACCCTATTAGAAGTTGGAATGATTCCTAATCAGTTAATATTGGGGCTGTCTGTTTTGACACAATGCATAGTGTAAAGACAAAATGTTTAAGAAAGAGGCTGTAGGCCAGATGTGTCATAAGGCAAACAACTTTGGGCCAGGCATTGTTGTGTTGAAATGTGAAGGGCTAAGGACAAGATTAAATATATAAAGCCTTGATAATATTTCAAGATGCCACACCCTGCATGGAGTGAACACCATAAGGAGAGGAGAGTGGAGGATAGGATTAGGATAGGATAGGATAGGATAGGATAGGATAGGATAGGATAGGATAGGATAGGATAGGATAGGATAGGAAAGGAAAGGAAAGGAAAGGAAAGGAAAGGAAAGGAAAGGAAAGGAAAGGAAAGGAAAGGAAAGGAAAATTTTCCACATACAACTTACTAATGGAACTGTTACTTTTTTTCCCAGGAAGAAATTTGTTCTCAGTACATCCCTTTCTACATTAATCTCCTTTGTCGGGAGTGGGAGTACTTCATTTGCTGTATTTTTTTATTTAACATATAAATATGAACACTCTTATCAGGAGATAGGATTTGCTGTTAAGTTTTCTCAGAGCTTTAAAATGTGTAGACCTCAACTCCCAGAATTCTCCAGCCAGCTGGCCAACCCCAAATTGATTATGGCTGATTTAGAAAGCCAAACAGAAGTTGGCCCTACTTAGGATTTAAATGAGGACATCTGGAAGTCTAGGGTTGCAGGCTGGAGTACAACAATCTTATTAGGAAAAAGTGGCAAACCACTTCTCCTTCATGCCAGAAAATTGTGTGGAAGCGTCACCCACAAACAAGTACAATTCAGCTAACCTTGATGGCTTTTACTCAGCAGAAACTAAATCCTCTGAATTTATCAGTCCTATCTCCAAAATAACCTACAGAGCTGCTGTAAAAATAACACACAAGCATACAAACCAAATTTCGTGTACCTGAAATACAGGCTTTGATCCTTATGCCATAGAACAGTCTTACTTTAACCTCAACAATTTTCAAGAGGAGGGGGCTTCGACTCCCAGAATCCCCCAGCCAAGTATGCTAACTGGGGAATTCTGAGAGTTGAAGTACACACACACCTTAAAAGTTGTTGAAGTTGAGAAACGTGGTCCTGAAAAAAATCCAATTATTTTCAAGGTGCCCCAAAAATGTTGGGTTTAATTCCCCCAAACCAGAGAGAGAGAGAGAGAGAGAGAGAGAGAGAGAGAGAAAGAAAGAGTTAGCTCTTGGAAGAGTTTTTGTTTTTCTCTTATGGGATACTCCTTTTTAACGGGGCAGAGGTCTCTGCAGTTTCGGGGGGTGCGTGTGTGTGTAAGGAAACTACATTCTTCTGTCATGCCGTGGTTAAAAGAAAGCACGGAAGATTAAATAAAAACGGGTGCATTTTGAAATAACTTCAGACCTCCGCAACTGAACGCTTTGGATTAGAATATAAACTACTGTTCTGAGGTGGAGGGGTTGGGGGAAGGCTCAGATTATTCACCTTAACTCATGTAGACTTTTGCCCCGAGCTCTTAGCCTGCTTTCTTAAGTGTAACACTTTCTTCGTACTTCCCCCTCACACAGACACACACACACTTTGCTGTGTGGTGGATCATCCAATCATAGTCTTCCATGCAAATATACCATAGCCTGCTCGGATAAAAAAAGGCACAATTAAACCTAAGTACTCAGAGAGGGCAAATATAAGTGAACTTTTCTAAAGCCTCCTTTCACCTGTGTTGCAGGAACCGCTCAAACCATGTCAGCTGCAAAGACTTTGCCTGCACCCCTCAGTGATCTGAAGATTCAATATACTAAGGTTAGTTCTATTTATTCCGGCTAACTTTACTCAAACCATGATCCCCAGACTCTGAATGTCCTCGTTCTTGCTGCTATTCTTGCTTTGGCTTCAGATCTGAAGTGACTTGTGGATTTATTCCAGTATTCTCCTCTGTCATATATTGGCCTGATGATAGAGCTCTTGAATCATTCTAGCCCCAGAAGGTATCGCAGAGAAGTGAAATAAGGTTGAAACCGCATTTATATTAACAAACAAATAAATAAAGCGTTTTAGGTTTGATGTTAAATACAGGTGCAGAACTACATGTGAGTTCTTGGAACTGTGCCCTGCTAGACTGAACTTCTGCATGTTTACATTAATAAATCTCACTAGAGATTTTTTTTTTTTAATTTGATTTATATGCCGCCCTTCTCCGGAGACTCAGGGCGGCTTACAATGCGTTAAGCAATAGCCTTCATACTTTTGTATATTTATACAAAGTCAGCTTATTGCCCCCACAAACTGGGTCCTCATTTAACCTACCTTAGAAAGGATGGAAGGCTGAGTCAACCTTGAGCCTGGTAAGATTCGAACCTGCAGAAATTGCAGGCAGCTGTGTTAATAACAGGGTGCATTAAACCACTGTACTACCAAGGCAGTAATTTAAGTTCTCGCTAGAATTTATGTGGGAGTTGTCAGTGGCTGGATGGAATAAGCATAGCTGTAACTACAACTGTAAAAATTCCATAATGTTGTGATTGTTCGACAATAAACAGTGTAGAAATTATATCCATGATCCCACAGCTGTCCATTAAGCCGAAGGTTGTGAGAACATGCTAATACTGAAGAGAGAGAAGATTTAGTTTCTCAGATCAGCGAAGGCGGGAAAATATAATACATTAACAATCAGTGAAACTTTGTTTGATCTGTGGTTTTGCAGTTTGAATATAGAAATACATATTTGAAAAAGTAATTTTCATCAAAATCAATTGTAAAGAATATAGATATAGCTGGACAGTAAGTGCACAGAAGCAGAAAGCAGCCTCTGCCCACAGGATTACAAAGCCATGACATTCAAATAAGTAATCAATTATCCTTCACCCAGTTAAACTGGAAAACCTAGAGGTAGGCAAATTTGTACTCTAGTGCTACATGAAGTGGAAAACAATTCACTCTTCTCAAATAAGCTCAGATTCAGAATGTTACTTCAAGTGGAGCTAATTGGGCCTGAAAACATGAAGTTTGGCTAAGTCCACTGCAATCAAGCTGAAGAAGCTTATCTGTGACAGTTGGCAACATGATCCACAAACTGCTTGAGCTATGAAGTCTGACTTTAAACCAGGGGAGAGTAATTCAATGGCATTCCTCTGGATAGATGGATTTATAATATTGCATAAGGATTTGACTTATGCTGCATGCAGCAGAACGCATTACGTAGTTGCTTCATTCCAGCAGAAGTATTTTAATGCTCAGAAACTTCTTCCCCAATGAGTGGGACAACTATGGGGTATTCCAATTTGTAGTGCAGGTTTATGATAAGGTTTTGCCCTCGTCCTATCTGTATTGTCCGTTGCAATGTAATTTGCAATATGCTACTTCATAACATTGAATACATTAAATATAGATGGACGGATGGAGATGAATGGGTTTCTATTATAACACGGTGCAATCTTTTCTATGTCCAGTCAGAAGAAAGGAGTTTCATCATTCATGGGACTTAAGAATGAAATAGGTTTTGAAAAACAGTGTAATCTCAGTGCTCTAGGAAAAGGAAGACATTCTTGAAGAAATTAATACTTCTTTAGATTCTTGAAGACAAGCTTTCATATCCAGTCAAGCACCTTGCTATGAACAAGTCTGCCTCGCAAGCACAAGCATCTGGTAAATTCTTTCTCTGTTCATGCAGAAATAGATAAGAGGAAACATGACATATTATTATGGTTAACTTTTCAACCAGTTCTCCCCCCCCCTTTTTTTTTTTTCTTGCACAAGACATGATTGCTGCAAAATACCTCTGAACTTTAGCCGGTAGCTAACAGAACCCCCTGAATTTTCAAAGACTTTTAGGTGAGTCTGGAGGGGTGGGAAGAAAGCATGAAGGAGGGCTCTGCAGAAATCCAGATTTGAAGGGCTAAAAGTGATTCAGAGAATTTCTGGCAGGTGCACACTCTGACGTACATTTTGCTCTTCAAGTTTGGATTGTTGCATGGGCTCATCAAGAGGTTTATTAGTTGTCTCTCTGTATTTTTATTGTGCATGAGTATAGAAGGATATTGGAAGGAAACCAATGCTCCCATCTAGATATATCAGGATTTCCAATATTGCATGCATGTGCACCTAGTGTAAATAAGGCTTGATTGTTCATCTGGAGAAAAGGTTAAAAGATAATTTTTACTGCATGGTAAGCTGCTTTTAAAGCAAGAAAGCAGGGAGTGGGACAACTGTGTATTTGATACATTCCTGACTATCTCAAATCAGGAATGTATATTTAAGCCAAAGTTAAGCACTCTAAAGTCCAGTTGATTTTAGTGGTAGAAAATTAAATCCAGACTTAACACTCCCGCAAAAATAAAGAAGATGCTTTAACTTTGGCTGGAATGTGTCTCCATTATATAATCATTCACAAGGCCAGTTTAAGAATCAAATCAAGGCACGTTGTAGCAATTGCGAAAAAATGGAACTGACCTATTTGTTCATTAATATGAAATTATGGCAGCCTTCCCACCTTAAAGCCAGTCCTAGCCCCTCTTAGTTATTTTACTTGTTTGTGAAAAGTTTGTGAATGCATTTGGTAATATTTCACAAGGTTTTTCCTTGATTAAATGATATGCATAACTTGCGGGAAAATACTTGAATTCTACAATTGATCAAATAGAAGAGGATGCTTTTATATTTTGAATGTAACAAAATTTTGAAGTCTCCCCTGATGATTGAACTCCATAGGATTTCTTAGAGTATGCTAATGTTATTTCGCTTTTTTCAGTGCAAGGAATTTTAAAGTAATTGTTTGCCCTGATATAATTTGACAGCTATAAAAAGATAATATATGATGACCAAGACTGTCTTCAGCTGTATTTTTATTTTATTTGCACTGGCACTGATAAGAAAATACATATCCCAAAAGGACAGTCTGCATATTGTTATAGCTATGTAGCATATGTCATTAGTTACTGTCCAGCTGTGCTGGATCATAACTCCCATCATCACTCAGCACAGCCATGAGCTGGATGGAGATTATTGGAGTTGCCATCTATATATCTATACAAGTATTTTCTCTATGATACCAGAGTCTAAAAACAATCACTTTCCTCAATAATATCACTTTATAGTTGAAAAAACTAATGCATGCCCAGAAGCAATGTTACTGAGTCTGTGTACATGTTTACTCAAAAAGTAAATTTAAGAGCAATGGTTCCAAGGATCACAGCCTAAAACTATGTCAGAAATTGATGCTCTTAGAAATGAGATGTTCAGCCACTTTATTTAGCAAAACTGGATTTCCAGAAAGTCCAGTTGCCTCTTGAAAAAGCACCTTTGGGACACTTTTATCTAGTCCCTCTCTGCGAGATCAGTTTAAGTTTTTTGAAGCCTGAGTATAGGTGGAGAGCGGTTGAACAGATGTGTATAATGGCAAATCATTTTGATACTTCATCTCATTCCTTTTTCAGTTGAATTGAAATACTGGTTGGGTAGATGCAGGAAGTGAATCTTCAATGCAGGAGTGATAGGTACCTGATGCTTTCAGAAATGAAAATGACTCTTATAAAAGAAACCCACACTATACCTTTACATTTTAACAACTATCAGATGGACACTAATACCTCTTCAATCTAACCTAAATGGTATTAGATCTAGTCGATGAAATCAGTAGAATTTAATTTAAATCCCAATCGATCATTTCCACTGAATTCACCAGCGCATGTAACTAATAAAAATTATTTTGTCCTGAATTCCTTCCATGCCTCAAATTTATACCAAAGGTCAATCAAAAACCTCAAGAACTGCGTGCCTTTTGATGCACAGATGTGCAAAGTACTCGAAAGAGCTGATAAGATATCTCTCCCCTAGTAAATATTTTACTCGGTTGTGGCTTGAACTTTAGCAAAGATTATTTAACCTCATCCATCCTATGAAAACTTTTTCAAATTTTCATTTTAAGAAATGGTTCCGATCTTATGTATCAATATTTAGTATTCAGGTTTCAGAGCTTCTGCAAACACATTCATAGCTTCACATGGCACACTGTGCAATTTTTAACTATGCACAGAAACGGGAAAAAATGCACTTCTTTGTCACCCTTTGTGAAGCTAAATTGAAAGTAACAAAAACATATTAATTAGATAAGCATGAAAAGCAAAACACAAATAGAAGTGTTAGCTGCTTAATTAGCTGTTGAAAAGCATCAAAGGCCCATGGGCTTTAGCTTAATATTGTCCAATCTTTCTTTCTTAAGCAATAATAGCAAACTGTCACTTTCCCTTCTACTCAGTTCTTATGTTTTCTTCTTTGTATCCATTTATGCTGTATTTTCTTAATAATTTAAATTTGCATGAATCTGTATGAATCTCTTCAATAGTCTGTGCATTTTTGTACATAATATGGCTTTTTTTTTTGAAGATTCTTTTTGACTGACACCAAATTAGTATGATTTTTCATGTGCACGCATATTTTGATAAGAGTATGGCAATGCATTAAAAGTTATACATTTCTACACTTATTGAGGCAAAATGCATCTGAGCTATATAGTGGCTGTGCACTTTGTTGTATCGCCAATGACCTTGGGAGTCAGGGCAAAGAAACTAGCAAGGGAATGGTCAGATAAAAGTCAGATGAGCCCACAGCAGGAATTGGGGCAAAGGAAGAGGCTCAGAAAACACCCTCCCTAGTTTTGGGACTATAAAGGGGACAATGGTAGAATTGTTCTTTAAGACTTGCAAGATTCTCTTAATATAGCTTTACAATAAAATAGAATTAGCTCATCTGGTTGTGCTACCTGCCTGGTCTACCTAGTAAGGCCAGGCAAGAAGCACTAACCACGA